TTAATGCTAGAGAACACAGTACTGCTAGTGAGCACATTACTGCTAGAGAACACAGTACTGCTAGAGAACACAGTACTGCTAGTGACCATAGTGCTGCCAGTGAACAAAGTACTGCCAGTGAACACAGCACTGCCAGTGAACACAGTACTGCCCGTGAACATAGTACTGCTAGTAAACACAGCACTGCTAGTGAACACAGTACTGCTAGCGAACACAATACTGCCAGTGAACACAGTATTACCAGTGAACATAATACTGCTAGTGAACACAGCACTGCTAGTAAACACAGTACTGCTAGTGAACACAGTACTGCTAGTGAACACAGCACTGCTAGTGAACACAGTACTGCTATTGAACACAGTATTGCCAGTGAACACAGTACTGATAGTGAACACAGTACTTCTAGTGAACATAGTACTGCCAGTGAACACAGTACTGCCAGTGAACACAGTACTGCCAGTGAACACAGTACTGCCAGTGAACACAGTACTGCTAGTGAGCACAGAATTGCCAGTGAACACAGCACTGCCAGTGAACACAGTACTGCTAGTGAACACAGTACTGCTAGTGAACACAGAATTGCCAGTGAACACAGTACTGCCAGTGAACACAGTACTTCTAGTGAACATAGTACTGCCAGTGAACACAGTACTGCCAGTGAACACAGTACTGCCAGTGAACACAGTACTGCCAGTGAACACAGTACTGCTAGTGAACACAGTACTGCCAGTGAACACAGTACTGCTAGTGAACACAGTACTGCCAGTGAGCACAGTACTGCTATGAACACAGTACTGCTAGTGACACAGTAACTGCTAGTGAACACAGTACTGCTAGTGAACACAGTACTTCTAGTGAACACAGAACTGCCAGTGAACACAGTACTGCTAGTGAACACAGCACTGCTAGTGAACACAGTACTGCTAGTGAACACAATACTGCCAGTGAACACAGTATTGCTAGTGAACACAGTACTTCTATTGAACACAGAACTGCCAGTGAACATAGTAATGCTAGAGAACACAGTACTGCTAGTGAACACAGTACTGCTAGTGAGCACAGTACTGCTAGTTAACACAGTACTGCTAGTGAGCACAGTACTGCTAGTGAACACAGTACTGCTAGTGAGCACAGTACTGCTAGTGAACACAGTACTGCTAGTTAACACAGTACTGCTAGAGAACACAGTACTGCTAGTGAACACAGTACTGCTAGAAAACACAGTACTGCTAGTGAACACAGTAGTGCTAGAGAACACAGTACTGCTAGTGAACACAGTACTGCCAGTGACCACAGTACTACTAGTGAACACAGTACTGCCAGTGAACACAGTACTGCTAGTGAACACAGTACTGCTAGTGAACACAGTACTGCCAGTGAACACAGAACTGCTATTGAACACAGTACTGCCAGTGAACACAGTACTGCTAGTGAAAACAGTACTGCTAGTGAACACAGTACTGCTAGTGAACACAGTACTGCTAGTGAATCCAGCACTGCTAGTGAACACAGTACTGCTAGTGAACACAGTACTGCTAGTGAACACAGTACTGCTAGTGAACACAGTACTGCCATTGAACACAGTACTGCTAGTGAACACAGTACTATTATTGAACACAGAACTGCTAGTGAACACAGCACTGCTAGTGAACACAGTACTGCCAGTGAAAACAGTACTGCTAGTGAACACAGTACTGCTAGTGAACACAGTACTGCCAGTGAAAACAGTACTGCCAGTGAACACAGAAACGCTAGTGAACACAGTACTGCCAGTGAACACAGAAATGCTAGAGAACATAGCACTACCAGTGAACACAGCACTGCTAGTGAACACAATACTGCTAGTGAACACAGTACTATTAGTGAACACAGTACTAGTGAACACAGTACTAGTAGTGAACACAGTACTACTAGTTAACGCAGTACAAGTAGTGAAGACAGTAAGTACTAGCGAACACAATACTAGTAGTGAACACAGTACTAGTAGTGAAGACAGTACTAGTAGTGAACACAATACTTTTAGTGAACACAGTACTGCTAGTGAACTCAGTACTATTTGTGAAGACAGTACTAGTAAGTAGTGAACACAGTACTAGTAGTGAACATAGAACTAGTGAACACAGTACTAGTAGTGAGCACAGTACCAGTAGTGAACACAGTTCTAGTAGTGAACACAGTACTAGTGAACACAGTACTGCTAATGAACGCAATACTATTAGTGAACATAGTACTAGTAAGTTGTGAACACAGTACTAGTAAGTATTGAACACAGTACTAGTAAGTAGTGAACACAGTACTAGTGAACACCGTACTAGTAGTGAACACAGTACTAGTAGAGAACACTACTAGTAAACACAGTACTAGTAGTTAACACAGTACTCGTATTGAACACAGTACTAGTAGTGAACACAATACTAGTAGCTAACACAGTATTAGTATTGAACATAGTACTAGTAAACCCAGTACTAGTATTGAACACAGGACTAGTAGTGAACACAGTACTAGTAGTGAACATATACTAGTGAAAGCAGTACTAGTAAACACAGTACTAGTATTGAGCACAGTACTCGTAGTGAACACAGCACTAGTAGTGAACACAGCACTAGTAGTGAACACAGTACTAATAGTGAACATAGTACTAGCGAACACAGTACTAGTGAACATAGTACTAGTGAAAACAGTACTAGTACACACAGTACTAGTATTGAGCACAGTACTCGTAGTGAACACAGCACTAGTAGTGAACACAGCACTAGTAGTGAACACAGTACTAGTAGTGAACACAGCACTAGTAGTGAACACAGCACTAGTAGTGAACACAGCACTAGTAGTGAACATAGCACTAGTAGTGAACACAGCACTAGTAGTGAACACAGCACTAGTAGTGAACACAGTATTAGTAGTGAACATAGTACTAGTGAACACAGTACTAGTAGTGAACATAGTACTAGTGAAAACAGTACTAGTAAACACAGTACTAGTATTGAGCACAGTACTCGAAGTGAACACAGCACTAGTAGTGAACACAGCACTAGTAGTGAACACAGTACTAGTAGTGAACACAGCACTAGTAGTGAACACAGCACTAGTAGTGAACACAGCGCTAGTAGTGAACACAGCACTAGTAGTGAACACAGTACTAGTAGTGAACATAGTACTAGTGAACACAGTACTAGTAGTGAACATAGTACTAGTGAAAGCAGTACTAGTAAACACAGTACTAGTATTGAGCACAGTACTCGTAGTGAACACAGTACTAGTAGTGAACATAGTACTAGTAGTGAACACAGTACTAGTAGTGAACACAGTACTAGTGAAAGCAGTACTAGTAAACACAGTACTAGTATTGAGCACAGTACTCGTAGTGAACACAGCACTAGTAGTGAACACAGCACTAGTAGTGAACACAGTACTAGTGAACACAGTACTAGTAAACACAGTACTAGTATTGAGCACAGTACTCGTAGTGAACACAGTACTAGTAAACACAGTACTAGTATTGAGCACAGTACTCGTAGTGAACACAGTACTAGTAAACACAGCACTAGTAGTGAACACAGCTCTAGTAGTGAACACAGTACTATTAGTGAACATAGTACTAGTGAACACAGTACTAGGAGACACAGTACTAGTAGTGAACACAGTATAAGGCCTTTCAGGTTAAACAGTATTAGATAACAGTACTATATAACAATACTCGTTAACAGTGTTAGATAACAGTACTAGTTAATAGTACTTGATAACAGTACTCGTTAACAGTGTTAGATAACAGTACTAGTTAATAGTACTAGATAACAGCACCAGTTAACAGTATTAAATAAGTGATAACAGTACTAGTTAACAGTATTAGATAACAGTACTAGTTAACAGTATTAGATAATAGTACTAGTTAACAGTGTTAGATAACAGTACTAGTTAATAGTACTAGATAACAGTACCAGTTAACAGTATTAAATAAGTGATAACAGTACTAGTTAACAGTATTAGATAACAGTACTAGTTAACAGTATTAGATAACAGTGATAACTACTAGTTAACAGTATCAGATAACAGTATTAGATAACAGTACTAGTTAACAGTATTAAATAACAGTACTAGTTAACAGTATTAAATAACAGTATTAGTTAACAGTATTAGATAACAGTACTAGATAACAGTACTAATTAACAGTATTAGATAACAGTGATAACAGTACTAGTTAACAGTATCAGATAACAGTACTAGATAACAGTGTTAGTTAACAGTATTAGATAACAGTGCTAATTAACAGTATTAGATAACAGTACTAGTTAACAGCATTAGATAACAGTACTAGATAACAGTGCTAGATAAGAGTACTAGTCAACAGTATTTCATAACAGTACTAGATAACAGTATTGGATAATAATATTAGATAAGAGTAATGGGTAACAAAAACGGTTTTGTGAACCAGACACTTACCATCAAAAACTAACAGTGAACCAGACACTTGCCATCAAAAACTAACAGTGAACCAGACACCATCAAAAACTAACAGTGAACCAGACACTTACCATCAAAAACTAACAGTGAACCAGACACTTACCATCAAAAACTAACAGTGAACCAGACACCATCAAAAACTAACAGTGAACCAGACACTTACCATCAAAAACTAACAGTGAACCAGACACTTACCATCAAAAACTAACAGTGAACCAGACACTTACTCTCAAAAACTAACAGTGAGCCAGACACTTACTCTCAAAAACTAACAGTGAACCAGACACTTATTCTCAAAAACTAACAGTGAACCAGACACTTACTCTCAAAAAACTAACAGTGAACCAGACACTTCCTCTCAAAAACTAACAGTGAACCAGACACTTACTCTCAAAAACTAACAGTGAACCAGACACTTACCATCAAAAACTAACAGTGAACCAGACACCATCAAAAACTAACAGTGAACCAGACACCATCAAAAACTAACAGTGAACCAGACACTTACCGTTAAAAATGAGAGAGAAGAGAAGACTTACCGTCGAAGCACCACTCGCGGTCTTGGTCACACAGAGTGTCACTAAACAGACATCCTGTAACGAGAGTGTCACCCATTAACAACCCAAACAATGGTCATTACAACAGCAAAGAAAACATAAATATAACAACAAGGAACAACAACAGAGATGCTGATGATTAAGAGACGAGTGAGTTTCCCCTGTCTCCTAATATCATGTTTATTTTTCCCCTATAATCTACCTTGTCCATAATTATTATCGCATTTGCTTTGTCTACTTTCGTAAGGTGAAGTCCAGCATCTTTCCTTAATTCATGGTATAACTTAACAAATCTTTGAGGATAATTGTGTTGCAAAGTTCAGACCTCTGCAACACAATTATCCTCAAAGATTTGTTAAGTTATACCATGAATTAAGGAAAGATGCTGGACTTCACCTTACGAAAGTAGACAAAGCAAATACGATAATAATTATGGACAAGGCAGATTATAAGGGAAAAAATATTAGAAGACAGGGGAACTGACGTGCTTCTGAAGACACATGTGCAACAGTTGGGTATATTTTCTGTATGGCCTACACCGTAGACTTCTTCAGTCAAATACAGAGGCAAAAGGTGTAGTAGTGAAATGAAGATGTAATCAATCCATCAACCTGGGAGAAATGAGGTGGTCAGTCCCTCAGCCATGATCGTGGTGGAGGACAGGGATAAAAACCACTTGAATGGCATAACAATTAAAAAATAGGCTAAAACATTTACAAATATTGTCTCTCAGTCCACAGCAGGATTCGAACCTGCAAACTCGGCATTAGAGTACACAGTACTTTGTACACAACGCCTGAGACATAATGTTTGGAAATAATTCCGCCTGTTCACGAATTGTTAAGCATTTTAAAACGTCTTTAGTAGTAAACTGCAGGTGGCAGGATTTGTTGAAATAACTTTGAACAAGCCCGGTGCTCCGGGGTGTGGAGAAACACCGTCATTATTGTTACTCTGGGGTGTGGAGAAACACCGTCATTATTGTTACTCTGGGGTGTGGAGAAACACCGTCATTATTGTTACTCTGGGGTGTGGGGAAACACCGTCATTATTGTTACTCTGGGGTGTGGAGAAACACCGTCATTATTGTTACTCTGGGGTGTGGGGAAACACCGTCATTATTGTTACTCTGGGGTGTGGAGAAACACCGTCATTATTGTTACTCTGGGGTGTGGAGAAACACCGTCATTATTGTTACTCTGGGGTGTGGAGAAACACCGTCATTATTGTTACTCTGGGGTGTGGGGAAACACCGTCATTATTGTTACTCTGGGGTGTGGGGAAACACCGTCATTATTGTTACTCTGGGGTGTGGGGAAACACCGTCATTATTGTTACTCTGGGGTGTGTGGAAACACCGTCATTATTGTTACTCCGGGGTGTGGGGAAACACCGTCATTATTGTTACTCTGGGGTGTGGGGAAACACCGTCATTATTGTTACTCCGGGGTGTGGAGAAACACCGTCATTATTGTTACTCTGGGGTGTGGAGAAACACCGTCATTATTGTTACTCTGGGGTGTGGGGAAACACCGTCATTATTGTTACTCTGGGGTGTGGGGAAACACCGTCATTATTGTTACTCCGGGGTGTGGGGAAACACCGTCATTATTGTTACTCTGGGGTGTGGGGAAACACCGTCATTATTGTTACTCTGGGGTGTGGAGAAACACCGTCATTATTGTTACTCTGGGGTGTGGAGAAACACCGTCATTATTGTTACTCTGGGGTGTGGGAAACACCGTCATTATTGTTACTCTGGGGTGTGGGGAAACACCGTCATTATTGTTACTCCGGGGTGTGGGGAAACACCGTCATTATTGTTACTCTGGGGTGTGTGGGAAACACCGTCATTATTGTTACTCTGGGGTGTGGGGAAACACCGTCATTATTGTTACTCTGGGGTGTGGGGAAACACCGTCATTATTGTTACTCTGGGGTGTGGGGAAACACCGTCATTATTGTTACTCCGGGGTGTAGGGAAACACCGTCATTATTGTTACTCCGGGGTGTAGGGAAACACCGTCATTATTGTTACTCTGGGGTGTGGGGAAACACCGTCATTATTGTTACTCTGGGGTGTGGGGAAACACCGTCATTATTGTTACTCTGGGGTGTGGGGAAACACCGTCATTATTGTTACTCTGGGGTGTGGGGAAACACCGTCATTATTGTTACTCTGGGGTGTGGGGAAACACCGTCATTATTGTTACTCTGGGGTGTGGGGAAACACCGTCATTATTGTTACTCCGGGGTGTAGGGAAACACCGTCATTATTGTTACTCCGGGGTGTAGGGAAACACCGTCATTATTGTTACTCCGGGGTGTGGGGAAACACCGTTATTATTGTTACTCCGGGGTGTGGGGAAACACCGTTATTATTGTTACTCTGGGGTGTGTGGAAACACCGTCATTATTGTTACTCTGGGGTGTGGGGAAACACCGTCATTATTGTTACTCTGGGGTGTGGGGAAACACCGTCATTATTGTTACTCTGGGGTGTGGGGAAACACCGTCATTATTGTTACTCTGGGGTGTGGGGAAACACCGTCATTATTGTTACTCTGGGGTGTGTGGAAACACCGTCATTATTGTTACTCTGGGGTGTGGGGAAACACCGTCATTATTGTTACTCTGGGGTGTGGGGAAACACCGTCATTATTGTTACTCTGGGGTGTGGGGAAACACCGTCATTAGTTTACTCCGGGGTGTGGGAAACACCGTTTATATGTTACTCTGGGGTGTGTGGAAACACCGTCATTATTGTTACTCTGGGGTGTGGGGAAACACCGTCATTATTGTTACTCTGGGGTGTGGGGAAACACCGTCATTATTGTTACTCCGGGGTGTGTGGAAACACCGTCATTATTGTTACTCTGGGGTGTGGGGAAACACCGTCATTATTGTTACTCTGGGGTGTGGGGAAACACCGTCATTATTGTTACTCCGGGGTGTGGAGAAACACCGTCATTATTGTTACTCCGGGGTGTGGGGAAACACCGTCATTATTGTTACTCCAGGGTGTGGGGAAACACCGTCATTATTGTTACTCCGGGGTGTGGGGAAACACCGTCATTATTGTTACTCCAGGGTGTGGGGAAACACCGTCATTATTGTTACTCCGGGGTGTGGGGAAACACCGTCATTATTGTTACTCTGGGGTGTGGGGAAACACCGTCATTATTGTTACTCTGGGGTGTGGGGAAACACCGTCTAGCTTTGGCTAGGCGCAAGGTGATAAACACAGGGGTAGGGAGGGGGCGGTGACCCCACCAAGTGACAGACACAGGAGCAAGGGGAGGAGAGCCCACCAAATGATAAACACAGGGGGAGGTAACCCCACCTGATAAGCACAGGAGGCGGTGACCCCACCAGGTGATACAGGGGGCAGTGGCCCCACCAGATAAACAGAGGGCGGGGACGGTGACCCCCACTAGATAAACACAAGGGGGCGGGGGCGGTGACCCCCACCAGATAAACACAGGGCGCGGGAGATAAATACAGGGGCGGGGACGGTGATTCCCAACCAGGTGATAAACCTAGTGGGGGGACCCCAACCAGGTGATAAACACAGGGGGCGGGGGCGGTGACCCCCGCCCCCAGGTAAAGAAGTTTTAATTAAGGAAAAATCCCAGGAATTTAATCTGGTTAAAGAATTGGACTTGATACCAGATATGGGGAAGGTTTGGCATAGCTGGTACTGAGCGAAACATCGTACTCAATTCTCAACTGTAACTCAAATAATTCCCAGCCAGTAATTCCCAGCTAATAATTCCCATCCAGTAATTACCAACCAGTATTTACCAACCCGTAATTCTCAAACCAATAATTCCCACTCAGTAATTCCCATCCAGTAATTATCACCCAGTAATTATCACTCAGTAATTCCCAGCCAGTATTCCCCACTCAGTAATTCCCAGCCAGTAATTCCCACTCAGTAATTCCCAACCAGTAATTCCCAGCCAGTAATTATCACCCAGTAATTATCAATCAGTAATTCCCAGCCAGTATTTCTCACTCAGTAATTCCCAGCCAGTAATTCCCACTCAGTAAATCCCAGTCAGTAATTTCCAGCAAGTATTTCCCATTCAGTAATTCCCAGCCAGTAATTCCCACTCAGTAATTCCCAGCCAGTAATTCCCACTCAGTAATTCCCAGCCAGTAATTCCCACACAGTATTTCCCACTCAGTAATTCCCAACCAGTAATTCCCACTCAGTAATTATCACTCAGTAATTCCCAGCCAGTATTTCTTACTCAGTAATTTCCAGCCAGTAATTCCCACTCAATAATTCCCAGTCAGTAATTCTCAGTAATTCCCAGCCAGTATTTCCTATTCAGTAATTCCCAGCCAGTAATTACCACGCAGTAATTTCCACTCAGTAATTCCCAGCCACTAATTCCCACTCAGTAATTCCCAGGTAATAATTTCCACTTAGTAATTCCCACCCAGTATTTCCCACTCAATAATTCCCAACCAGTAATTCCCACTCGGTAATTCTCAACTAGCAATTCCCACTCAGTAATTCCCAGCCAGCAGTTATCATGAAAATCATCTCTCTCCTGGATCAAGAGTATTCAGCATTTACAGGCTGGTAAATCCTCGTTCAAAGGCACCAACACGTGTAAATGGCTTAACCCGCACGGGAGAATTTACAAATTTAACACCTATTTACACAGGCAAAAAGGGTGCAAAAGCTTTGCAAGAGGATTAACGTAAAGCCGACTAAACCACAGCTAAATATACCTTGTAATTACCTCTGATTCTGCTCTAAATACTCTAATTATATATTATATATATATATTATATATATATATATATATATATATATATATATATATATATATATATATATATATTATATTATATATATATATATATATATATATATATATATATATATTATATAATATATATATATATATAATATATATATATTTTATATTCATTTATGTAAATCTAAAAATTAATAATTTTGTACCAAAAAAAATGAGAAAACTTACCTAACCTTATTATAACATGCTCAGTTTAATTT